GGGAAAGTGAAGAAAAGAGAAGATGAGAAAAAGGAAGAAATGAAAGAAAATGATGGAAGGAAAGAGAAATAAGGAGGGGATGTAATTAAAAGGAAGAGAAAGATGAGAAATATGGGCGTTGAAGGCGGAATGAATGGAAATGCAGAAAGAAGGAAGAAGAAAATGTGTAAAATACAATTTAAAGTGCCTAAAGTATTTAGACTATTTCAGTCAAAATTTTTGACTAAAATAGTTTTGGCGGATAATTCAAAATGTTTCACTTGATTTGTCGAGCCAAAACATTAATTTCTAATAAAAATTTTGACCGAAATAATTTTGGCGAAAAATTTAAGAAATTTCACTTAATTCTTGGAGCCAAAACAATATAATTTCGGTCAAAATTCTTGACCGAAATAGTTTCTTAGAAAATTAAAAAAATTTAGCAAAGAAAGCACCATAGTAATATAATTAAAAAAAGAAAACAGAGACAATTATTTTGGTCAAGATGCTTGACCGAAATAGTTTTATAGAAAATTAAAAAAAAAAGAAAGAAAGATAAAGAGTGCAATGCTAATACAATTAAAAAAACAGGAGAGATTTATTTCGGTCAATATGCTTAACCGAAATAATATCATAGAAAATTAAAAAAATTTAGGAAAGAAAGCGTCACAATAATTTTCTATAGAATTTTTTTTTTTAAATAAGACAATTATTTCGGTCAATTTTCTTGACCGAAATAGTTTCATAAAAAATTTAAAAAATTTACAAAAAGAAAGCATCATACCAATAGAATTTTTAAAAAAGGAGACAATTATTTCGGTCAAAATGCTTGACCGAAATTGTTTTATGGAAAATTAAACAAAATTTAAAAAAGAAAGCATCATATTAGTACAATTTTTTTAAAAAAAGGAGACTATTATTTCGGTCAAAATTTTTGACCGAAAAATATAACTAAATTAGAACAAATATTACTTAATTAATTCGGTCAAAATTTTTGACCAAAATGTTAATTATTTTATTGTTAATATAACTCGGATAAAATACTTGACTGAATTAATGGTAGTGCCAATTGACGCTCTTTTATTTCGGTCAATATATTTGACCAAAATAATTTTAAACCGAATTATTATGTTGAATATTTTTTAATCGGACTAAAGTATATTTTGGTCAAAATTTTTAACCGAATTAAGTCTTTTTTTTGGTCAAAATTTTTGCTTGACCGAAATGTTCTCTTGGAAAAAATCACATTTTCTAGTAGTGACATAAGTTGGTTGGAATAAAACGTTATATTTGTTTCTCTCTTTTCATTTGGTTTGATTGTGATCCTTGCTTCTAGTTTTATTGCACCTTTTCTT